AACGCCGAAGTGCCTCCATTGTTGTTCGTATAACGCACGGGTGTTTGGGGCCTGGCTCCGCGCCTGGCGCGGAGCGCGTCCCGATACGCCTCCACCAGCCGCTGGGCACGGGAGTGTTGAATCTTGCGCCTGCATTTAATATTGTTCGACACATGCGACTGGAGTGTGTTGTCGTCAACATGCTCCAGTCCACACGCCTCGCAGACATTGCCCAGCATTGCTAGAGCTTGTGCTAACCCTGACTTATGCCTACCGATAAGGCTGTTCGTCCATCCGAAGGCACAATATGTGCCTGAATGTTTGCAACTATTGCAGGTCTCTCCCAGCTCGGTTCCAGCGTATTCATCGCCGGTAGAAACCAGGTTTGTCCATATGACATTTGGCACATCAGTTGACCTCATTGATTGAAACTAAAGCACGGTGTATAGCAGTCAATTTAACGTCGGGCCCGGTATCAGTCTGCCAGATGGGCTGTACATGTACTGTACTTCCCACTCAGTTGCTAAGTTCTACTTATGATCTTGTGTTTAGCCCACCATTCGTTCTGTCCTACTGTGGCCTTCTATGTTCGCTATGGAACAAACCCGCTAAAAGTATCACTCACTCCTTCATTCCGGTTACAGTACTATCCGCGGAATGTAAGTCCCTAGTCGGGGGGGTCAATGTACACTGGTCTCATCCGGGCCACTCATCCCAGCTGTTCCCCCTCCATGCGGTCGATAGTGGCGCCTTCTGTCCGAATGACAATACTCCATGTGTCCATGTCACGTACGCAAGTTCACAACGTTGGTTGGGATATTGATTACGTGGCGGATAACGTCCGCGTGGGTAATGGCACTATCCGTCATTAGAGCCCGTTAATCCGTCTCGCTTCCTTCTGTTATAACACGCGCACCACATTTGCAAAGCGCTGAATTCCCGCAACCATGGCTGAAATGGCCCTTTTTCTCGAGGAGATACAGGCTCACCCTCAGGACGTGTTCTGCTTTGTGGAAGAAGCCATCCTGCCCACCAAGCTGCCCTTCCGTGATTCTGGTGATGGCCGAGTCGACCCGCGTCCCGACTGGCACCTCAACATTGGCTTTCTTTTCAATGCAGCCGGCACCGTCATGTGTCCGCCGCTGGTAATGTTTCACCTTGAAGACGAGCTTGCGCAGGGCATAGAAAACCCGGCCGGTCATCCCGTCTTCGTCCACCACACCATGGACGGAACAGTCACCCCCGATGTGCGTACTGTCATGCATTATCTCGAGAACCAATGGCTACACCTTTTTACGACCGCTGTGACACCCCTACTGACTATACTTCGCACTCGTTGTCTTGCTCCTCACGCAGATATTCAGCGAGTATCTGGAAGCGTTGAACGGCGTCTCGTACTCCACGGACGACCATGTCATTGTCCTTGTAACGAAGGACTCCCACGCTACGACAGACATTTCCGCGATGGAAACGACGGAACATGGTTTCCGCGTGCAAAACTTGAGCAACCTCCGTATCGTTCACATGCACGGCGCTGCGCCACGGTGCATCCATCCCGGCCTGTGTGGGATCGTGGAGTTGTGGAGGACGCTTTATCGTGGATGTTACCTGAGACATTTGATGCGGACTCCCGAGTGGCGCGACGGCTCTGAGTTCCGGCTCCCGCCCGTGTTACACATGATTCGGTGGATGGGGGCCTCGTGGTCAGAAGCCATGCCTGCGTCGGTCCATCTTAGCTGGTGGCGCGCTGGATGTGTGCCAGCATCATGGCGACTCGCCATCCGTGCATACAAGAACCCAGTACTTAGCGTCCTGTCAGAACCACTGGTGTTGGAGCTGGGTCAGCTGCAGTGGCTAATAGACGAGTTCAGGCCTTGGGGCGAAGGCCTCATGCATGCTACTGATTTTTCCCATTGCGAGCAGCTCCTTATACCCCCACGCGTTGAGCGTGTCGGTAACGAGACGCCCGCCTCTGTGGAAGACCCCGTCATAACACTGAACACTCATCCTGGCCCGCTATTCAGTGACACTCGTTGTCGCAGGCGCGTAGCACGCGTGGTCTCCGAACTACTTGTTCATCAAGCCATCTCTCTCGGCATACAAGTGCGAGACGCGCCTGAATGGTTTGGTGCGTCGAACGCCGAAGTGGTTAGTCGTCTTCGCCGTACTCCTATTAAGCGTCCCCGAAAGTCAGCTGTGACGGTCATCTAAGAACGTCGATGTCGCTGGGGGCTTAACATGATGCGGTTAATGTCGCTACGATAGCTAGTTAATGTGCTATCACTAGTGTGCCATGAATCATGTAATAGAGCGTGTTTGACACGTTTTCAGCATGCGGTAGTACGATTGTGAAGGACCTCTCCAGAAGATTATTCGGAAACATCTCGTTCTGCTCCGCTATGTCTCATATTTAAACATTATACCGGGACTGTGTAAGACGTAAATTCGTGGATAGGGTTTGGTGGCCACACAGGCACCCGGAACCATTCTTCCGCTTTCAAACACAAGATCTTCATATGATGGCATGCAGCCGCAGGTTTGCCAACACACTATATTTCGTGTTTATCATCTGGCGTGCAGTACCACGTACGTCACATCACATGCTAATGAACAAATGACGAGTGCAGTTTTAGCATGACACGTGTGACGCCCAGACGGAGCTGCTTTTCCGCGCCAAAACGTCGAATCTGCATTTGGCGCGCAGTGTGACACACTGGTTGCCATGTACATCTTTTGAGTTCCTCTCAACACACAGACGCAACCGTCTGCGCGCACTCCTGTGTCTAGTATATTCTTCCGTTTGTCCGTGCGGAGCTCATTTGAGGTTTGAAAATGCGGAGCTATCCGCCTCTTAGCGTCATGAGTCCTGTTAGCATGCACGGTTTCTCCTTCTCCAAGCAGCTTAGTTAGTGTCATAGCCTGCAAGGGCACACGATGAATATACAGCATATGCTCGTGCAGAGAGGCAACTCTTCCGGTGCCGCAAGTACACTGACAACTGTGAAGACGTCTGGAGTGCGCCGTCAGCGCAAAGTGAAGAACGAGCCCCGTGCTGAGCGAAGGGTACAAGCGGCGGCCAGCGGCGTAACTGTTTCTGGATCAGCAACACCACCGCCACCGGATGACGTTGTTTCTCACCTGAGGAACCCCACCTATCAGCGCGATTTTCAGACGTTGGCGCTGTACGGTCCCCATGGAGTGGGATGTCAGCTGACTGCCCAAGACGCTCTAACCCTCGCGGACGGCGAGTGTCTGGCGGACACCGTTGTAGACTTCCACAACATGTGAGTGTTCCAAGAACTGCACGACTGCATGGTTACTAACTGGATTTTGCCGTCACTGATTACGCGACTCACATGGGTGTTTTTTATTTCAGCCTTCTTAACATTCGTCATCCGACGCTCGAGGGTGGAAAGACATGGTTCGCTCTTGATATGAAGGCCTTCGTTTACGCGACATCACTGAACAAGGCGTGGCCTCTTGGGCATGCACCATTGTTAGAATACTGACCGAATGAATGACTAAACTAGCAAGAAGGTGGGTACAAGTAGGAAACTTAAAAGTGTTGTACCCTATATGAACTACCCCACTACAGCCTAGATAGACTATAGCATATAAGTTTGACACACCCGCATAGGCAAAGTGGGGGAGAACAAGAGGTCACAAGACCAGTCAAGAACGGCAAAGCAAGCTCAGGGTGGATCACAAGGTCACCACGCAGTCTGAGCACAAGCAAATGGCCACAAGGCCAGTTCACATGCAGATTTATATAAAGGAGAACAAACAATACAGTGAACACAACCTAGCAAGTGTAAGCATGCAGGTATATGTATATACAGTACAGTACAAGCAGAGTCAAGAAGTAAGCAAGTGAGGCACAGTAGGTACAAGGCCTAGAACAGTACAGAAACGCTGATGATCACAAGGCTGAAGTGCCTTGGTGAAAACATCAGCAGTGTTGGCCTATGAGGCCACGTAAGCAAGAAGAAGCTGACCACGCTGCTGCAACTCTCGAGCAAGGAAGTAGTGCAGAGCAATGTGCTTCGTTCTGTGCTCCAGTCTGTGCTCCTGACACAAGGCAAGCATGGCCTTGTTGTCGACGTACAGAACTGGAGGAGAACAAGGCGCCTCTCCCAAGTCGGTCAGCAGGTAGGTGAGCCAGCGTAACTCCTGTGCAGCCATGGCCCCAGCGTAGATCTCAGCCTCACAACTGGAGCTGAGAACAGAAGACGAGCGGGTAGACCGCCAAGAGACAGAACCGGAGCCAAGACTGAAGGTGTAACCCTGTGACGACCGCTGCGTAGCCAAGTCGTCAACCCAGGAAGCGTCTGCGTGACCAGTGAGGACAACTCGAGCCCGTCCTCCAAGCACGAGCCCCATGCCCGACGTACTGCACAGGTAGCGCAACACCCTCTTCGCACGAGCCCCATGCCCGCGCGCGGCCCCATGCCCGCGCGCGCCCCCCCCCCCCCCCCCCCCGCTCGCCACGCAAGGCGACGGGAGGGGCGACCTAGGGGGCGCGCGTCGCCCCTTCTTCCGCCTGCTCTGGCGCCCTGGGAGGCCGCGCATCGGCTCCCCCCCAGAGCCCTTTTCCCAGAGCCCTTTTGTCCGGCTTCACTATCATCAAGCGGTGGATGACGTTCTACGGAAAGAAGTCGCATACCTACAGGCGACAGTTACGGGAGGAAGTGTCGCTGCACTCCACGGGTGACCTTGTGGTCAGGCTTTTTGGGGAGGGCGTAGAGGTTCCTTTGCAGCCACTTCCCCAGTTGGGTGAGTTTGGGGCCCTAGTGTTTCCCAAGGAAGACGAAGTGCGTACCGACCTGGCAAGGCAGTTCGGCATGGTAACCCGGATGGAGCTTGGGGGTTACGTGGTATGCGCGGCGGTAACAAGCCTGGCACGCGCGTGTGGGATATCGGAGGAGCAGCTGCTAAGCGGTGCAGCCCACGAGCTCCAGACCTACGGGACTCCTCTACTGTCGTTGTCAACGTCACATAACCAGGTGGATCACGCGGCATCGATGAAGACGCTCCCCAGCTCCATCCATGCTACACCATGCCCGCTGCCGGTGCCATCGTCATTTCGGCCTAAAGTGGATGTTGCCTCTCCTGGTCAAAGGTCCGAGTCACCACCTCAAGCCGTGCCCACGAAGGAGGAATCCGAGAATCCTACGACTCCAGTAACACCGGAAGCACCAGGCAGGCCTTGTCGGACTCGAAGGGCTAGCAGTCGTCTGGGAGGAATGGAGGAATCATGCACAGTGCGTAATATCAGTATGCAATCCGCGTACGGCAATCGTCCTACTTCAAGCCGGTGGACTGGGGTGAGCTGGTGTCCCCGTTGCCGTAAGTGGGGGGTGAAGATGGTGTGCGGACCCGGTACGGGACAACAGATCAGACTTGGTGCGTACAACGTGGAGGACGATGCAGCATATGCCTATGCCGCGGCTGCGTACGTGATCCGGCGCAAGGATCACATCCCGCACATGAAGGTGCTGACCGATACAGAGATGGCAGCGCTGGATGGGTGTGTCAGATCGGACGTGAGGCACCTTGTGAAGGCTCGTCTGTGGTGGAGGTGGCGTCACTGGAGGACAGCAATGGCAGAATTGGGCATTGCACCCGGGACTCCATTCCCTCTCGAAAATGGAGGTTCCCGCTCGCCTCCTATCAGCATTGGTGATGACGAAGGGGAGTACCCGCTGACACTGAAGGATGATGCCGCTGACGAGGAGATGCAGGAGCCAGAGCTGGGGTAGGAGCGTCACTTATTCCACTCGCTCTGTGCTGGGATAGGATCCTTGGCGTCTAGCTTGTTTGTTGTGAGTGAAAAACGTTTGAGCAATGCTAGTGGTTGTATTAGCAGGACGTGAAAGGAAATGGCAAGGATTGTATAAATGTTTACATAAGAGCATTACATTTATTGCTTTGTACGTGTTTACCTCTAGTTATCCCACAACTGACGTCGCATGTCTTTTGCAATATGTTTGCTGATAAGTGTACTGATGTTGGCATATTAGAGAGGCACGGACGCGACGCCGTATCGAGGGCTATGGATAATGTTGGGTACATCGAGTGCCAAGTGTGCAAATCCGGCGAATGACGAAACTAGTCTGGCAGCCAAGGGCGAGCCACGTGGAAGGAGACACGGCATAGCAGAGGTCATGATGGGTCACTCACTGCGTAAGTATAGACAGTCTGTGCCAAATGGACTAATTCCTGCCCACACAACTAGCGTCAATGGACAGTTTTACCGCCGGACCCGTCTCGTCCCGTGAGGGCAGGAGTCAGCGCGTGTCCCAGCCTCCAGCTTACCTGCTGAACTCTTACCTTCTGCCTGGCACAGTTAGGCGTCAAGTGACGACCAAACCTCGTCGGTCTCTTCCGAAAAACGCCAATGCGCAGCAAGCACAGGCTCCTCCTTCGCCCCCGCGTAAGTCGGTGTGTTTTATGGATTTGTCGCGGCATACCTGGATTTAATTATGTGCGCCGCAATGCTTGGGGCCAATATAATGGTACTAATCTGGTGTCGTCACATTTACATGCTGCAGCTGTGACTCCCTCCCATGGGGGCGGAGACTCGCGAATGTCGCATGGCAGCACGTCCGACAGTAGCTCGTCAACCGCATGGTCCAGCCGGCAGACGAGGAGGATGCTGCGGAAGGGGAGTCGTCGCGCCGCCGGCGCAAACGCAACGTTAACGAAGTCCTCCAGGGGTCCGCGCGCCAAGAATGCGAACCCGAAGCACCGCCAGCTGCATCTTCGGATGACGATCCCAATGATGCCCTCCCGAGGCTCAACCCCGTGTAGAGCGATGACGAAGATGCTGCGGAAGCCGAGGACGAAGAAGAAGCAGGCGCGGATGAGGAGGACGCTGGCGCTGAAAGTTGGCCGGATGAAACTCCGGTGACGCGGGAGGAGATGACTAGCTTGCGCGAGCTGCAGGAAGCTACCGCACGTGCAATTGTCAGGCTGGAATCTGTGTTTCTTGCAAAGCCTGCAGGTGACGGCAAACAGAAGAGGAAGAGGCATCGGAAGCGCGCATCCGGCAATGGAAAGCGACGTAAGGCGCATCGTACACGGACCACATCAGATACGGCGTCCGAGGATGAGGAAGAGGCCGAGGAAGGACTGGAGGGTCACATTCGATCGTCGTCATCAGCGATTCTGCAAGAGGCACTCAGTCTCCTGCCTGCCGACAAGGGATGGAAGGTACGCTTCACGTGATGCTCAGCAAGCGGGTGTATTTTGCGCTTCTGCGTTATGTGGACCAAGTGGGCCAGTTGATGATGAGTAGCGTCTGTCGCCCCTGCAGCAAATATGTGAGCAGGCTCGCGACCATCTTTTCATCCGGCGGCCCAACAAGCATTTGACGTTCTACCCGAGCAGCGCCGCCAAGACCTGGGGCATATGCGCAGTCGTTGATAACCTCCCTGTCAACTACGCAAGCCTTGCACTCGTGGCTGACAAGGCACGTCGGGTCGACTTCAACAGGTCTCTCAGCGACTGGAAGACGGGTGCTGCTGGGAGGGTCCGCGACATCTCGCTCCCTAAGCTAGGGTTGTTTCGCGACGAGCGTGATGCAAAAAGCCCCTAGGCGGCACCCTCTATGCGTACACTGGCGAGGGTCCGGGATAGGGTCGGCCTCGGAGACGTCGACGCGGGTACGATCAGTGGTAGTGGTTTTAACGCTTTCACGCTGAATAATGGAGAAAGCCTCGTGTCTAATGCGTGCACATGTCCTGTGTGGTGAATGTTGCAGAGAGGCTTGCACTCTCTCGCTGGAGTTACGACCGTAACGGGATTCCCTTTGCATCTGACGCATTTACCGCATGCTCAAGAGCGGCGTTCAGGCCAAGGATGGTGAACAGGACAGTGACGCTGAAGCTGTACCACGTGGCCTGGCTGGAGCACGTGGTATGAAGACTCACCAGCGTATTAAAATGGTATGGTTTCCCAGCCTTTGGAATGATGGAATGCGTGCTTTTGTGTGGTGCTGTGCGCAGGTGACAGATGCAATCCGGAACTGGGAGGCGCGCAAGGGCCGCCTATCAAACTCCGCAGGATGTAACGCGCACATCATGGACGGCCTCCACGTCCTTGTGAAGAGTGCTGTTACTCGGGCCATCGCTGAGTTCAGGCCAGAGTACGATGCGGCGTCTCATACGTGGGCCTGGGGCCGCCATGGTCTCCGCATCTCTGCGGACGGCATAGCTGGCGGGAGGACCGCGAGCGCCCAAGCAAGCGCCAGCCTTGGGACTCCGCAGGCATAACTGAAATGGGGGCTCGCCGAGCCGTTAGTCTGCGCCATGACGCTCACTGACACGAACTCTTCCTTGAAGAGTTAATTTGCCTTACCTGGGGGGGGTTAGTGTCTGGGCGAGGAGGTTGCTTATGGAGTGAGTAGAGAGAATATGTAATTGAAGCGGGATATAAGAAGCACTGTCGAGAATGGTCAGATACCGTCGCTCAAACTCATCGCGTACACAAACCCAAGTGCATGTAGAGAAGAGTATTCATAGCCCATAGGCACCATACTGCGGCATTGCTACCGCTAGGAATGCGTAACGGCCAAAAGGATTCCTCCGATGTTATTAGGCGGCTCGACTTAGCGCCGTTGGATGCCGTGAGATGATGGCATCTGTCTGGGCGTGACGAACGTTTGCAGCCGTAGATGAAGGAACCGCGGTGCGACGAGTGTCTTTGATGTGTGGAATTGTGGACGGTAGGATGCATGCCAGGTGGAGGACAAATCCGTGCGTCACATGATTTAGGCCGTACAGGTCGGTGACTGTCAACGGCATCTCGGGTGAACACGTTGCATAATTCAACGTGTGATGGGGGCGTGGGTGGTGCAGTATCGTCGATGCACCCAGGCGTGGACAGTGGGATATCGATATGCATGGGTAGAACAAGGGTCAAATGTAAAATTAAAGCCGTACACGTGGTCATATTTCAACGTCATCTAGCGCGTACACATAAGGGGTTAGCCAGAAGCAGACTAGAATTTCAACGAATAAGGCGCAAGCGTGTGTCACACATGGTGCATCGGCATTGGGTACGAACTCTAAAAATGAAGGGCACGGATACAATGTTGTGTTGATCCTCGTCGTTCACGTGCAGGCAGGTGATTGGGGGGTGCGATGATCCGAGGGCACAGTACAGTAGACTGTTGAAACTTGATGGTCGACACGATGACCTAATGCTCGCCAGATGTCGGGTCGACGTTAAAAGCAGACAAATTGTGACATTTGGCGGATTGCACATTGGCATCCAGCGGGGTTACAAACGTGTGACGTGCACGTGACATAGCCGTAACATTTGCGTCACTTTGAAAGTGACGTCATTGTGATGTCAACGTGACATTTTCATGACCTTTTCGTCACTTTGTATGTGACGAAAACCCCGGTACTTCCAACCATCACATTTTTATCCCTGAATTCCGTATACGTAATAGTGACGGAAAAGTCACAATTACGTCACTTTCGGCACTTGTCTTTTCCGCGATGTGGAGTGTTCTGGTCTGGTGTGTGCCATGGTGGTGTGGTGTGATGCGATGCGTGGCCTTGTGTGGCTGTGGCATGGCCAGGGCGCGGCCGTGGCGTGGTGTGACGCCTGGGGTGTGAGCATGCAGCCATAGCGGAGCAATTGGGGCATTGTTAGATAGTCTAATTGCTGCCGTGATGGCACGAGCTGCCATTGTTAGCTTTGTAACGTAACTGTGGTGCTGCGCCTGTTGACCTGCACCACGCTGGTGCTGGCGCCTGCTGAACCGCATAATTCAGAACAGAATAATTGATCCGCAAAAGGCAGCGGCGCCACCTTTGGAAGTGCTTGGGATATCCAGCTGGTTCCCTGCCTGCTGAACTGCATCATGCAGAACAGAAGCAGTAGATGTGCAAGTAGCAGCGTGAATATGCTGGGACATGGAAATATCTGCACTACCTTCTTTCCGTTGTTTCTCTAGTGTAGCAGGGTAGCGTTGCTTGGGCTGGTGCATGCGTGTGTGTGTGAGGGTTAGGTGGTGCATGCATTTGTGAGAGGGTCGATTCAGTGGAATCACGTAAACATTTTTCCACCCTGTTAGTACAGCACTGTGTCCGCGCGTATCACCCTTGCCACATCCTTCACTGATTAAACGGCCTGCTTGCACTCCTGTCTCTCTAGACTCTAGTGCTTCCTGGGTCCTAATCCCTGCACTCTTGGTTTATACCTCCTGGTCTCACCCAATCTGAAGGAGCAGTGTGGGCAGGAAGAGAGAAGAAACCAGTTAACGTTAGCTAAGAGAGCACAAGGGAGTGAGCTGAGCGATTGAGCACGGGTCACTTTGACGTCCACCCCTCTCCCGCATGAGACAACAGTGCCTGACATGGTGGCATGGCTGAGAAAGCACAGGAGAGGGCTGAATGGCTGACATGTGCTGACCCTTAGAATCTACGGCATCTATTGTATAAGCAAGGAGTCAATGTGGCTGACACTGGGTCATGGCTGAGAGAGCTCAGGAAAGAGCTAAGGGAAATAGCATAGGAGAATGATATGATCCACCCCCTGACTCTCACCACTAGGCCGTATGAGACAACACTGGCCACAATGGTATGGCTGAGAGAGAGCAAGACATAGCTGACATAGGATGCATATGTTGACATAGGAATCACCATTTGATTATATCAAGATAGGGCAGCTCACAAATTTTTTTGTATTGATAAATAGTTTTGTGATCGTAAAACGATGGATCATGTACTAGATGGGATAATGGCTA